AGTTCCATCCACGTCGTTGCAAATGGCAAGATTAGTGAGTTGTTTTTAAAGGAATGAAGAACTGAAATGAATTTGAGTATTCACACATTATTTAAAATTGTTTTAATTTTAAAATAGAATCAGCACTTAGATTTTAGTACATTTGGATTGATATCTACTTGAAAAATTTAGAGATTACTAAAAATAGACTGGAATCATTAAAAAAATATTTTAAAAGTATAAAGGCATGTGCAATTTTTCATGACTCAATATGTTTATTATTAAAAGCAAGATATAAAATGAAATACACAGTATGATTCTAATTGTGTAAGAAATCATGCATTCCATAAAAATCATATATAACATACATGTGCTTACATGCATCCAGAAGGAAAATGTTATTGACAGTTATTTTTGAGTAGTTCTGCACTTTTTTTTGTATTTTCTGAAGTTTCTACAATTAATATGCGATTTACATTCAAAATGTATATATTAGTTTTTTAAAAGGTCAAGTATAGGAATCTGTTTCCATATTTGTTTGCTTGTGTATTTTATATGTTCGTACTTCCGTGAACATGGGAGTAGAGTGGTGAGTAGATGTGTTCCTCCTCCGGCTAATTCTTGGGGGTTGTCAGATAGCCTAGGTGCCCAAAAACCTTTTTATGTACATACTAGAAATGAGAACGTACTTGTTTCTCTACAGTTCCAGAAGAGGTGGATCAAGAGTGAGTTGGGGAATGGGTGATAGTTTTGAGTCAAAGGGAAGAAAGACACCAGGATTTCAAAAGACCAGTCAGTTATCTATAAGTTTATCCGTTCCCTAATCCTCTCTGACAAACTCCAGGGGAGAATTTCTTTCTAGTTTTAGAGCCAGACCGAGTGAAGCACAGAAGACCTAGAAGTTTGCATGAGATTAGATTCAGAAAGTAAGCCTTCGGCTTCGCTTCAGAGTGCTAGTTCATACGACCACTAGTCGTGCCCAATGTCACTGCCGGGCACGCTCTTCGGAGGCAGCTGGTACTTTGTGGCCCTTAGTGCTTTTGGTACCATAGGATTAGGGGTCTTTGATTAATAAAGGAAAACTTTCTTCAGATTAACGTCATCTGCTTTTCCTTCTGGTTTGGTCATAATGAAGCGTGGAGAGGTCGCGTCCTCGTGTGCTTCAACACAATTTTGAAACGAGCTAGTTTACAAGAGGCTGCTGTTGGTTGAATTCATTTTGTTAGATGACCAGGGGCTTTGCCACGTTTAAGGACTTGAATAGTTTCCGCATCCCAATGAAGTCTCTGTGAGGGTTTGCTTTTGGGTTGTTGTTCAGCTTTTTGCTAATGTTTCTGGCTTCTTGTGGAAAGAATGAGGGCAGAAAATAAAGTAGTAAGTGAGACAGAAGTAGGGGAAGGATGGCCACAGGCCTGGGGAGTAGTTCTGGACTCTCATTGTCATGCCCCTTTGGGAGAGAAAATTCAGCAGTGCGTGTTCAGCAAGTTCTTGGGAGAGGGGACAGCCAAGCCCTCCCTGCCTAGAGTGGGTGACTCTGTTTTAATCCGTGGTAGCCAGGGCAGGCTACTGAGCACCTCCTTCCACATCATGAGCATGGCACTGACTGCTGTGACTGTTACCTGGGTACGAATGTCCTCATTGCCCACATGCATGCATTTATACATGCACATACATATGCATACATACACACATGCATGCATGTATACAGTGTCCGAAATGGAGCCTCTTTTCTGATCTCACCCCCCATCCCGTGTCACTCCCTTCCCACCTGTCCCTATAAATATACCAATCCCCCCCTGCAAAAGCTATTTTCTCTCCTTAAAGCTGTTCCTCTTCCTTTTTTGTTAAAGTTTGTTGTTGCCATGTTTGTTTGATTTTATTTAAATGAGAGACAATATTGCATAATCCTCTTCAGAAGAATCATATCACCAGGAGGTACCATTTCAAGTCTCCGGACAGTGCTCACTGTGCAAATTTGAATCTAGCTTCTCATCAGATTATAGGGGATCCTAGTAGTCTCTTCCCATTTTAGGGAGCCCCAATAATCTTATTGTGTGGTATTATAACTCCTTCTAGCTGTGCTTTTATTGGCCAAGTTTCTTTGTTTCAAAAGTTCCTTGTTGGTAAGGTCGTTCAAATGCAGCATTTCAGAATCATAGTCTATCATAGGCTTTTGAGTGTGTGTGTGCATTTACAGGTGATTAAAACTCACACATACTTTAAGCCAAATTATAGATAACAACGAAATGAATTCCTTGGAACTTAATAATCTTTTATTATTATTAGCACATTACAGGGTACATTTAAAATATATGTTCACATAATATTTATTTTCTTCCATACACAAAATAACATATATTTTACCTGCATCATTGTACTTATGACAGTAGGTCTGATAAGACATTTCAATATTGAGGTGAGGACCTAGACAAAGGCTTAAAAGTTATATATTTGTTATATATTCAGAGATTATTTAAGCATTACATCATTTTGAAAAGAAAAGGATGGGATATAACCTGCCCTTGATTGAGGACATGTGCCCATTGAAAGAGTAGAAATAATTTTACTGTTACTGAAATGAGACAATCTTGAGATATTTGGCAGAAACAATTTCTGAGCAATTCAAAAGAATGAAGTATCTCCGTCACTAAAATTATAACTGTCTTTCTTTCTGCTTTGACAGGGAAGGTAAGCAAGACTGGTAAATCATCCTAAATATTGTATATTCTAAATATATCTTTTACAGAGCTTACAACCAAAGAAAGAATTCATGTTTTAATAAACATTCACACCCTTTTTAGTTTAGAGTCATCCAATGTAATTCATGTAAAAAATGAGAAGACTTATTTCCAGGGATCAATTTCAGATTAGTGGTGTGCCTTTGTCAGCAGAACTTAATTCTTAGAAAATAAACTTTGTAGCCAGGCAATTATAAAGAATGAAATGGGAGAGAAGACTGTCCCTTGGGAAAACATCTAGATTTCATATTACTTTAATTTTGACCATCCGAATAATCTACAGAAAAAACAAGTGCCCCCCCCAAATGTAATCCTGGAGCGAAGGGGTGCAAAATAACACGTTTCCTTTAAAGTGTGCTCCGACCTTTCCTGCTTTTTATTTTCCCACACTTTGAATTTAAAGATCTCTGTATAATTTGATGGTGGCCGTAACGAATGGTCTAATCATTGGTAACGACCCATGTATTGACGTCACCCATATGCTGCTTGGGCTGAAACATATTTCATGGGTGGTGTTTGAGGTCGTTCAGTCCTTTTCTGAATTGTTCATGACTGAGTGCACAGTTCAGTTGCAGTGTTCTCAGTCAAAGTCATGTCCAGGAAGCTCTCTGTGCAGAGTAATTACATTCACTTTTGATGAAAGAGCTTCAGCTAGCTAGATCACGAAATACCCCATGGAGATTTTGGAAATCCTTCTCACAAGTCACCCATGCTAAGAAATACCACAAAAGAACTCTGGGCCCTGGCTCCCTGCTTTCCTCCAAGTAGAATGCTGCAAAACTTTCCTTGCCTTTCCCGGTTTCTCCGAGACACGTCATGCTGACACCTTGCTCCTGCATCCCAGGCTCGGTGTGGCCGATGTTGCTGTGGCAGTGGCTCACACGGGATAACATTCCCCCATTAGCTACAGCAGCGGGACGTGAGTCAGTTGAAAAGTTTCCCTGGGTTTTGATTAGTGTATGATGCAGTCCCGTGTCTTCTACAGTTGCTAGCCTGTCCAAACCTTACACACTGTGATGCGGGACACTCGATGCTCATCACCTTCAAATGTTAGATGGTCCAGGGGCCTCTCACTGAGGCCACTGCAGTTGCCAGCTCCTTCCACAGCACCCCTTACTAATGCCTCTACAGTAAGAAGCCACGAGTAAAACTCAGGCCCTGCAGCCGGAACGGTCTCTCTCCTATTGTATATCGCGTGCACGTAAAAAGCAACAGTGACCTTGCTTAATGATCAAGAAGCCCCTTTTAACCCAGACAGCTGGACAATGGTTAACATCCCAGAAGACAGTTTTTCAACCCACTGGCTGGGAAGAACACGTGCTGAAGAATAAGGATGGAATTACTGTAATTCTCTATGGAAATTTATGAAAGTGCAACTTATTATTTAATCCTGATCAAAAGTGGTCATGGAGTTATCGTAATTTCTAACATGGGATTTGGTTTATTTTTCAGACATGGAGATGACTTGATTGTGACTCCATTTGCTCAGGTAAGCACAGTTTGGTGAATGGGCGGGTTTCTCACAGATGTGAAAATTTAATTTGGGGGATTAGTTCTGGTTCTTAATTTCATTTTAAGTCAGATGCAAATACAATAAAAATTCTGTGGTTCATTTAAGTAATTCAAAGGCAGTGCTAGAGAACATGACCTTAACCATATTGGACTGTTTCCTTATAAACCCATAAACCCAAAGAATGTCTTTGCTTCAGATTACAAATTACCTAAGTGACATATTTAAATGGGACCATAGTTACTTAACTTACATAAACACTAGAAGCAGAGGGCTATATCATGGATTAAATTACATTTAGTATAACTAGATGCATGATCAGTGCTTGAAATTTAATATTTCAGTTCAACTTGTTGCTTTGTTTACTCCTTTTTTATGTGCCGTTTGTACAGATTTAAATTTATCTTTGTTCCTTTTAGACATACAAATCATGAAAATACTTTAAGCATATAACATAAATGCTAGAAGGTGATAAAAGAATCTAAAGCATTTGGAATATATATAAAATGGTTGGTAGGCAGATATTCTTTATATAGGCCAGTGCTTTGCTACCTTGCTGCCCATTAGAATCACCTAGAAAGCTGTTATCCCAGGCCGTATCCCTGATCAACTGGATCCAAAAATCTGGGGGTTGGATCCAAGCACCTGTATTTATTTATGTATGTATGTATGTATGTATGTAT